GAAAGGGAGAGGGAGGGAGGGAAAGACAGAAAATGGGAAATTCTGTGAATGGGACACCAGGGAGCCTTCTCACAGGGGATGTCAAATCTGTCACCACCAGGACCAGATCTTATCTGCAAAACCAGGCTACCCGGGTAGAGTAGAGGAGCTAGAACAAAGGTCTCAGGACCGAGGAGGCAGAAAGGAAGCCGAAGAGACAGACTTGGGCAGAGAAAACTGACAGAGAGATTTGAAGAAAGGTGGGGTCAGAATCCAAGAGCAAGAACCACAGCTCAAAGGGCAGTGAGATCCCAAAGAATGAAAATTAATATCCCTTGGGTCATATCAGTGAGTCAGAACCAGACTCACACACACAACTGCTTCGGCCTAGTTGTGTGGACTTGGGACTAGCCTGTGTTCCTAACTTGCACCCACCCCATTCCCACCCAGGGAAATGTTCTCACTCTCTGCTGATTGGCCTTTTATGTTTTAAGGGACATGTTTACTCCCCTGGGTGGTCTCAGGAGTGCCACATTTGCATCGGCTCTTAATCTTTGTGAGCATCAGAATCACTAGTGGAGCTTTTCTTTTTCCTCACCCCCCCTCCTTTAATCTTTTAAGTAGATACATAACCAGTTGGTACAAAATTTAAAAGGTATAAAATGCTCTGAAAAGTGAGTCTTCCTCTTGCCCTTGTTCCCAGCCACCCAGTTCCCTTTTCAGAAGTAACTGCTGTTCTGGAAGTCTGACGAGACGGTGGGCACAAACACTGTCTCGGATGGTACAAAGGGTAACGTACTCTGCAACACGTTCTGCTCTTTACTTTAACTTCACAATAAATCTTGGAGATAGTTCCACATGAGTTCACACAGCACTTCCTCAGTCTTTTGTAAAAGACACAGTATTCATTGAACCACTGGACCACAGTTTTTGAAAAAGCAGAACCTTTTTTGGACATGTGGCTTGTTTCTAGTCTTTGCTATTATAAACATTGCCTCATTGCCTATCTTTGTGGCCTCTTCATTTCACATGATAATGCACACATTGCTGTAGAGGAAATTCTTAGAAGTGAACTTACTAGGTTAAAGGGCATAAGCTTTTCAAATGGTTGCTGCCAAATTGTACAGATTACACTCCCTTCGGCAAAGTTTGAAAGAACCGGTTTACTGGTGGATAGAAATCAAACAAAAATATACAGGAGTCCTGGGCATCTGTATTGTAGGACATAGAAAGAGATTCTGAGCCAGAAACCCTTGGGTTCCCTCCACCTCCACCCTCTCCCTTCCTCCAGGGACCTGTCTTCAGGCCTGACAGGCCTCAGCTTCTCCCAGGCCTCCGGAGCTGGGAGCTCGGCATTCAGGCTGAAGGGCCTGTCCCGGGCGGCGCCGGCACCGGGGCTCTCAGGGGCCTGGCTGGCAGGTCTTCCGTCCCTCTCGAGGGTCGGAGCCTTTGCCTCTCATTCAAAGCTAGAAAACAGGGTTTTCTCCTTTAATCCAGTGCCCCCCTTGTTAGGGACTGGAGCGCAGGCTGTGCCAGGGTTACAACCACGTCATCATGTGGACAACCCTGGAATAAAACAGGGAAAATGGAAATGGTTAGAAGTGGTGAGGCGCTGATTTTTTTTTTAATGTGTAGTGTTTTTACAATATTGACATTAAAGACCAGAAAATAAAACTGCCAAGAGCTAGAACCACAACTCAACCCACTAATCTGCCATTGTCCTCTGATGTGGCATTTTTGTGTAACTGCTCCCTGAACACCCTCAGGAGGGTCTAGGGTTGGGAGGGGCCCACGTGGTAGGTGCATGTGCCCCGTCCCGCCATGTCCTGGGCCAGGCTCTGAGGGTACATGACTAGACCAGCTGCCTTGCCGTCCATCACATGTTCCTATCACACTGGGTGGCAGAACCACGTTTATTTTGCAAGTAGGGTTGTGATCCACTCTACCCATGGGTCGGACCTCTTAGGCATGGCCCAGGCCCCCTTTTGGGCCTGACACTGACCGGGCACGTGTACATATTAGAGAGGAAGAAAGCAAGAAAGAGGGGAGTGTAGCCGTGTGGTATAATTTGAAGAACTCCGAGGATGTGGTCCGCCACATACTCCCTGCTACCCCTCATGGAGCCTGACATCCTGGCTGCCAGGGATCCTGCCAGCCCCACGGATCTGTAGCCTCTCCGAAACAGGCCGCAATCACTGATTCATCCAACACATCTTTATTGAGCCCCTGCTCTGTGCCAGGTACAGTTCTAGGGCTGAGAATTTATAGCTGTGAATAGAGTAGTCAAAAATCACACCCTCATCAACTTTAAATTCCAGGGGGGAAGAAGGATGGCAATCAATAAAGAAAGCAGGTATTAGATGTTTGTATTTATAGTATCCATTTCATAGTATGTAAGATGATGGTAACTCCTAGAGTGGACAGTAAAACAGGAATGAGAGGGGCATGTAAATGTAGAAAGGGTAACCAGGGGGACCCCACTGAGAAAGTGGCAGTTGAGTAAAGACCTGAAGGAGAAAAAGCCAGCCACACAATATGTGGGGGGAAAATGTTCTGAGAAGCAGAAATACCAAGTACAAAGGCCCTGAGGTGGGGCCTTTGATCTCCTGTATTAATTTTCTCTCTTGATTTGGGTCACAAGCAACTTGAATGTAGGGATAATGTTTTCTATGTCTTTAGAAATAATTTTGATTACCTTTTGCTGTATACCCATTTGTCCTCTTAAACTTTGTGTCACTTGTAGGTATTATTTATTGTGAATAAATTTTTTATTTAAGTTTATGCCTAGGGAAGGCACTCAGCATTGAGTTGGACACATAGCAGGGTTCAATAATTACCTGCTGTTTAACTATTTGATAGCAACATGTTTAAAACATCCAGGTCCTTTTTTTTTTTTTTTTTTTTTTTTAAGGATTACTAATCCCACAGTTTTCCTGAGAGGCTGCTCATTACTGTGCCAGGTTTATTTACTACCATCCAAGGGGCCCTTTGTTCCTTTCAGACCAGTTTTAACTATAGAATTCCTACCATAAGCTGGGCCTCAGATTTCCAGTTATGTAACATGACCGCACTTGTCACCTTTTTTATTAGCTCCCTCCAAATCCCTGAAGGCTCCTCAACTAGAAGAGTAGAATTGGCAACTTTTGTTGTTGTTGTGTAGGGAAGCTAAGGTATTCACAGTGGAAAACCCAGGGAGAGTGTAAACAGTAGGTGGTGAAAGTGAATCATGTCACAAGAAAGAGTTGACAGAATTTAGTCCTCTGGCTCATGGGCTCGCTTGTTGCCCCTGGTTGCCCTCCCACTCAGCTGTGGGCCCACAGGTGCTAGAAGGAGATTACAGAGCGCTCAGCCAGCCCTTCAGAAAATACTTTTGTTTCCTGACCAGCCGAAGAGCATGTTGCATGGCATATCCAATTTCATAGCTGTAGAAAAATTGTAAGAAAGAAAGGAAAACAATGGCGAGCTCTGAAAAATCACAAATAATTGAAATATTTGTGGTTTTGGTAAGTTCCTAATCAATTTAAGTGATGAGGTCTCTTTTCTGCAGAGCAGAGAAGGGACACACAGCTTGGAGAGCTGCCTGGGAAGGAGGGAAAGAGGATGCTGAGGTAGGGGGCGAGGACCAGCCAAGAGTGTGAAGCTGAAGTTTTCCGTTGTGCCAGAAAACAGTACAAAGGTCGTTTGCAGCAGATGGGTAGGTTTGTTACCGAGTGTGGGTAACAGAAGTGTTAGCATCCATTTGGCTTACAGTGGAGAAGCAAATTCAGGTATCTTCCTCTAGGCAGTGAAGATAAAATTGCTGGTAAAGGGCTGGCCCCACCTCTGTGCTGAGGGAGAGCATTTAAAATGCATGCTGTTGTGTTGTTATGGGGTTGCATACAGGGCTCCGGAGAAGGTGAATTCATATTTTTCAAAACTTGTCTTAGAACAACAGTTGATGTGCATCCTGATTTTAGTCACAGGAAGCCCTCTGTAAACGTTTGTGGCTGAAATTCTACATGGATCCAAAGTAGGAATTTAAAAATCCACCACCCGCAGCACCACCCCTTTCTCTGCATGGTATTTAAAGTATGCTCATTGCAAGGCCTGCGTCGGACGAGCCTCTGGGATTTTTTTCCTTTTCTGCGCCCTCCTCCCCTCCCATGACACCTGCTCCTGCCCGGCAGCAGAGCGGCAGCAGAGCGCAGACCTCCAGTCACTCCCCGCTGTCTTCCTTCCCCTGAGCTTAGGTGTCCTGGGGCTTCATCTCAGTCCATGAGGGGAGGCCAATTTTCTTTCTCATTCTGTCATGGTGATTAAGAGTTCTATTTCTACAGATAAAACCAGTATTACTTGGGCTGCGGGCTAAAGGCTAGTTTAGCAAAGCTTGCTAGTTCAGCCAGTACATCGCAAACCAGATGCTCGTTGCTGTCTTCATTGCAGGCCCCCTGCCAGAGGAAACTGTGTCCTCTAAACAACCGATAGTCGCTAAGTGGACAGTGTCTCTGTGACCTTTTTTCAGTGCTTTCAAATGCAGGCTTTTTTTCTTTTTTGACTGGGCAATAGTCACACAGCAAAGTTTTAAATGTTTAAAAGGTGAGAACTCTCCCTCTCTCTGTCACATCTCTCCCCCAGCTCGATTCCATCCTCAAAGACAACCAGTGTAGCGCTGTCTCATGTTTCCTCTACACACGTTGTCTACGTCCATAGACATACGCGAAGCAGCCCACAGCAGGCTTCAGCTCTCCCCTAGATACTCGGCCTTTGACTTTCATCCGCCTTCCCCTCGTGCTGTCTGCCGCACAATTGTCCAGTCGCATTCTTTGAATTGCCGTTCAGATAAAAATATCTTAATAAGCACGAGTGCCTTTGCCTGGAGGATAAGTAAACAACTTTATTTGATTGGGGCTCGACAAGCACATTGGTGTCATACTACCATTAATTTAAACCATATCGTGAACGAAGTCCCTTAAGGTCATAAAGTAGGGACTCCAAAACATGATCTGTCTTCTAAGGCTGTGGCATGTTTTCTCCTCTTTCAGAAACTAGAATGAATCGAAGCATACCCGTGGAGGTTGATGAATCAGAACCATACCCAAGTCAGTTACTGAAACCAACCCCAGAATATTCCTTGGAAGGGGAATCAGAACCACCTGCTCCAAATATAAGGAACATGGCACCCAACAGCCTGTCGGCACCCAACAGCTTGTCTGCACTCCAAATCCCTGACTATCCCTTAGGAGACTTTTCTCAGGCTCATCCACACCTGAAACTTTCAAATCGCCAGTGGCCAGTGTCCCCGCAGATCACCTGCCTGCGCACGAAAGTCCTGGAGGAGAGTGAAGACAGCTTCTGGAGGAGACATCCGGACCCTGGCAAGGATTTGCCCTCGGACTCCTCTGCAGCCAGTGAGTCTGTGGTTGGGGGCCTCCCCCCAGAGCATCGGTTTTTGTTTATGGAAAAACGTAATCAATGGCTGGGATCTCAGCTTTCAGCAGCTTCTCCTGACACTGGCCATGACTCACACAAATCAGACCAAAGTTTACCTAATGCCTTAGCAGACTCTCCGGGCCACAGCCAAGAGATGGTGCAACGGCCCCAGCTCCACAGGAACCGAGCAGCCCCAGACCTGCCGACGATAGACACGGGGTACGATTCCCAGCCCCAGGACGTCCTGGGCATCAGGCAGCTGGAAAGGCCCCTGCCCCTCACTTCTGCATGTTACCCCCAGGACCTCCCCAGGCCTCTGAGGTCCAGGGAGTACCCGCCGTTTGAACCTCAGAGGTATCCAGCGTGTGCACAGATGCTGCCTCCCAACCCTTCCCCACATGCTCAGTGGAACTATCATTACCATTGTCCTGGAGGTCCCCAACACCAGGTGCCATGTAAGTGAGCCTTCCGTCTTCTGGTCATTCTGGGCTGCGCAACTAGGTAACCAAGGGCCTCACATCAATGCCTCATGTCCGCAGGTTGGCACAGACAGGTCAGAATGCAGGGAGAGTGTTTGGCCTCCCATAGGGCTTTCTGTGTGTGGTTGGATATGCCAGGGGCTTTAGAATAATGCTTTATCTTAGTCCAAAAGCTGTCCCACTTGGAACCTGCTTTTCTAGAAAATGTGAAGAGCAAAAAAGATTCCTCTCTCCTGGTTCATTTAACTGAAACCTGCCTAGAGGCAGGGAGATGACCCAAAGGACTTCTAGAAAACTTGTTTGTTGTCTTAATTCTTGGGCGTCTGGGTTCTTCCTTCTCTGCATGCTTCCTCCCCATCTTAGATTTGGCAGAGAAAGTGGCCTTCGGTCAAAAAATCAGAACGTGCCCAGGAGGTCGCCGAGACTCTGCATTCAGGCCATTACCTGAAGATCACATTGCTCCTGAGGTTCTGTTGCGTAAATCCCTTTGGAGACCTGAGCCACACCCCAGGACAGCAGTCCCCTGAACTTGTCTAGCTGTTGCAGATCCCAAGCACTTGCCCGTCCAGGGTGTTCTTCCCCATATTGTGCATTTGACCCAGCCCTATGCCTCTTCTTTTTCTTCAACAGCTTTACTGAGAGCTAATTTACATACTGTAAAGTTCAGCTTTTACTTATTTTAAGTGCACAATTCAATGAATTGTATTGTATTTACAGAGTTACATAACCATCACTATATACATCTTTTAAGACTTAGCTCAGGTGTTCCCTCTGGAAACCTCCCTAGATCAGCCCCTCCTTCAGGCTCTCTGTATCCTTGTTTTCTGCCTTTCAGGGGACCTAATAACCAGTAGGGCACCTAATATCCACTTCTCTTTCCAGAAGGCAAGCTTTTGCACATCAGTAAAGATGTATTCTCAGTCCATAATTCCCCAACATTTAGCACAGTGACCAGCATATACTAGATTATCAATAAATTATTCCTGAATGAGCAAATGAATGAATAATATGTATCAGTGCATTAAGCATCTCTGAATGTGATAAAGTCATAAATTGAGATAAAAGGTTCATCATAATCCTTGGTATTAAATCTCCATGGAGGCCACTGAAAAATAACGATAGGGTTTTGCAGATCAAATGCAGGGCTCTGAGATAGGATACTTTTCTTAGCAAAATAAACGCTGTACACAAAGAAATTCAAGTGGCTTAAGAAGAGTCTTTCCAAAGGCCTGACACCTAGTTTTAAAATAAATTATAGAAAGAATTACAAGTGCTGTTTAATCACAGTTTATGTATTGTACATGCACACAATATAAAGCTGCCTCAAGTGAATGGAGCAATTAAGTAATTAATATTTTTTTTAATGGAAGCACATAGAGGAATTTAACTTAAAAGAAACAGATAAGAAGGAACATGAGTTTCAGAGTAAGGCCAGGAGAAGCAAAAACAGCAGGAGAAAGAGCCTCTCAGACCTAAAAGCGAGCCGCAGGGCGGACGCTGATGGGAAGTCCGCGGACGGGAGCCGCGGCGCCGCCTGCTCTGTGCGCCCCGCAACGGGCGCCGGTGGGGGCCGGAGTTCCTACGGGAGAGAAACAAACCTTGACGGGGGCGAGGTTGCCTTTACTTCGCAATGATTTCCAGGTTAAAAGGGAATACTTCGTGAAAATAATCCCATAAACTACTTTTTTAAATGTTTATTATCTGCCCTTAGAGATAATATTTCTGATCACAACAGTAATACTCGTTCAGGCTCAGAACTGAAATATGTCCGAAAGTTCAATTCATATTTCTGTCACCCAAATATAATTCCCTATTGGGTTTTTGACGCATTTCCTTCTGTTTCTTTTTTTCTTTGCTTATACATTTACTGTTAAATCAAACTGGTTTCCAAGGACATTCAGTGCACTCCTTCTAGCATCGCTTAAAAATGCTGCATAGTATTTCATCAGGTGAAACTACCAAACTGTTTTATTCTCCATTTGGGGGCATTTTAAATAGTTTCTAGTTTTTTTATCCAATAAGCAATGTTGTGACAAACATCATGCCCATAAGCTGTTATTGGCATTTCTGATTAATTCCTTAGACTAATGTGGAGATATGTGAATAATCAAAGGCTTGGTGATACTAAATCCCAAGCAGTTGCTTTTGTCTAGTAACAGGAGAAAGCCTCATGGTGATAGACAAGGAAATCGTTTAGTCATAAGAATATGAGGATCCCAGGAAGGTCTTCCTATGTTTCCTGTTGAAATCTAACATGGCACCACGAGCAGTCCAGCCCTTGGAGGTATAGAGACTGCTGCTGCGCTGGGCAGGCTCTTCTAAAATGCAAACACTCCTGCCTGGGAACACTTTTAGCCTCCAGTACCTCCTGTCCTGGTTTCTTTCATCAGGACCCTTCCCTTTGCTTTCTGTATTATTTCCTTCTGTGAATGGGAGGGAGGAAGGGGACGCCTAAGATCCTGGGAGGGAAGAGAGGTGCTGAAAGGCAGAGAGGAGAGAACTTGGACAGGAAAGGGGAACAGCTCGCAGAAAATATACAAACAGCCAATAAACATATGGAACCAAGCTTAACATTACTAAATTTAAGAAAAGTTTATGTGCACAAACATTTTAGAGATACCTTTTTGCTAATTAAGTGTGCAATAATGAAAAACCTTGAACAACAGGCAGTGTTAGTGGGGTTTTGGAGAAATGAACGCTCCCATCTACTCTTGGTAGGAGTGTAAATTGGCACAATCTTCCAGAAGGCACTCTCATTATTTAGCGAAACTTAACTGTGCTTCCTCTTTGACCTTGCCGTCTCACCTGTAGGAGCCTATCCTATAGACACACTGAACAAGCATATGAGAATGCAGGATCAAGCATGTTGATTAAAGCCTCGCGGCACCAGAGTAAAAATAAAAACTAAAATCCCTATCACTACAGGGCCAGATGAATAACCTGTGATTGGCTTATACAGTGGACGACTAAGCCCCTATTACAGAGTAAAATACACATTCTGACACTGAAAAAAAGAGTAAGTGGAAAAACATGCAGTGTTGATCCTATACATGTTATCTTTTAAAACTATAGATGTTGAAAAACTATATATTAAAAAATCTGGCCGCAAACGATAACAGTGATCATGCGGGAGAAGGCAGGGAATTAAGAAGAAAGGGGGGGATTTTCCTTCTAACTTGATATATTTTTGTTAAATGTTATAGCAAACAGGTATTACTTTTATAGTGGAAAAAGTAAATAAAAGTTAGAAAGAAAAAAAGAAAACTGAGGGGAAAGGAGAGTGTATAGGCCAGCTCACCCTAGTTCACCCTGAGTGCGCCTTGGCCCTGGCTCCCGAGGCATCTAGTCATGGGGAAGAGGGTCAGGGTTGGATTCCTTTTGTCAAGCAAGCCCAGTGCTTATGGTTATTCTCCAGAGCAGTGCAAGCCCAGAATATTTTATGAGGCCCCCAATAACAAAGGCTTCCATGAAGGTTGCTGTGAGAATTAAATGAGATGATGTATTAAAGATACTAGGAACAGGGCTGGCTTATAGTAAACCCTCAATAACTAGCAGCTCTTCGGTATTGTTATTTAAATTAAAATCCTGCAGCACAGCTTTGTAGAGTGCTCCTCGACTTCCAGCTCCCTTTTGCTGGTACAGATTTTAAGTATTCAAAGCATGTGTGCAATGCTTAGTTTCATGTCGGGGCTATAACTGCATTTAATTGCCAACAAAACCACTTCAAAAGAGCTGTTCACCTAAGGGATGCTTGTGCAGTTGGAAACCATGGCTACGTGGTTCTACTCAGCTTTAGAAGAGGTTTACTTCCTCATCTGTTAATGAAAATATAAATAAATAATGATCACCATGCAAATGGCATATCTTCGCTTTTGCAAGTTAAAGCAAAAATGGTTACTGGTCCCCCCCTTTCATGTTAAAAAAAAAAAGTTTTCAAAGCAAGTGAAAAGAGAAAGTGGAAATAATCTTATGTTTCCTCCTCCCCTCACCCATTGCAGAAAATGGCCTGAGAATCCTTCTGGGAAAGGTCACCAGAATAGATGTCATGGCTGTGCAATCAAATGAAACCCCTAATATAAATAAACTGGGGAAAAAAGAACATATTAAATCTAAACAGCCCTTATTTTTACTATAAAATTCTTGCTTTCTCCACCAAGGGGACTGAGTACAATAAAACTCTGGACACACACCTACTTTGCTCATGTGGATCTCCAAAAACTGATGATTCGTATGCTAGAATGCACGCACGATTAAAAGTAAGGAAAAGACAAACTGGGGGAAGCAATGAGCAAGAAAGGAGTTGTGCCCTGGCTGCTGGGGCTCAGTGGATTGAATGCTGGCCTGAGACCCTAAAGATCACTGGTTCAGTTCCCGGTCAGGGCACACGCCTGGTTTGTGAACCATGTCCCCCATTGGGCATGAGAGAGGCAACCATATATCGATGTTTCTCTCCCTCTCATTCTCCCTTCCTTCCCTTCTATCTAAAAATAAATAAAATCTAAAAAAAAAAAAAGAAAGAAAAAGAAGTAAAGAAAAAAGGAGTTGCCCTTCAGGAACCCCAGCTGCTCAGCGCTATGCTAGTTCCTCTGACAGTTTATGTTGACCATTTTGTTTCCTAGCTAAACTAATTATATCATGATGTTTTTCGACAACTTGAAAATCAGATTTTATTTTCTCTCCCATAAACTCTTTTAATACCATTCTTAATAAGGAAGAAAAATGTTGAATGTTTTGTCTAATGGAAAACTTCATTAGGATTTAGTTTACAAATTCCAAGTGGTAAAAACACAGTAACATGAAGACCGTATATACCCAGGCCAAGAGGGTCATAAGACTGATAAATAACATACTCTTCTGGGCACCCATTTATGATCATAAGATGTGCATTGTGTCTTGTGATTAACACTGCCTCAGAACTGAGGAGGTACCATGCTAACAAATCATTTGTCTATCATACCACCCACCACCTCCTATTCTTCATCTCCCTCAGAATAAACTTTTTTGATGGAATTTTGGACACTAGGGACAAGTCAGTGGGGGAGCTATTTCTGGGCAGCAATTCTTAAGTCTACCACGTAGGTGGCTGCCAACTTGCACGCCTCTCCTCACACACTAACGAGTGTGGGTTTGTTTCAAAACACACCCACAGACACACAGATTTTCTCTTTCTCTCTCCATTTATTTTGAGCTACTTAAGGGAACTGTATGCTATTTATCCATGTTCACCAAGTATCCAGCCATGGAAATTCAATAAATATTTGCTGAGTGAATAAAAAGAAACCTGTTCCCTATATCCCAGGGAGAGGAGCGATCCCTAATCATGAGTAGAGACTTTGTGATATCCAGCCTTGAAAAGCCCATCTCTAATTGTCTTATGGGAGAGGGGCAGAACAGAGGCAGGTTAATGAGCTTGGGAAACAGAACGTGTCCACTCATTTATTAATTTATTCAACAAATATTGGCCAAGTACTCTGCTAGGCACTGGGTGTACATTGGTAACTACGACACATGGCCTTCTACAGTGTACTGGGGAGACAGATAAGTAGAAATCAGCAAACAAAACAAGTATACGCGATAACAAGGTGTTAGAAGAGGCATTAATAGACAGGGTGGCCAGAGGAGGCTTTTTGGAGGAGGACACATTTGAGCTGAAACCTAAAAGACGAGAGGGTCAAGGACGCAGGAGCTTGTTAAGGTGCCAAAGGCGAGCCAGCAGAGCTGCAGCGGGGTGAGCAGGGAGAGACTTGATGTGCTGAAGATGATGGATGCAAGGGCCACGGTAAGGAGTTTGGATTTGATTTTAAGTTAAACTTTAGGAAAACAGAGCATTGAACTGTATAATCCTGAATAAAGAACTTAGAACAGTGTTTGGCATGTAGCAAGCACCCAGTAAGCATTAGCCGTCGTCATATACTCAGCTGGTAAGGCTCCATCAAAATAGTAAAATGAAATGATCAAAAATGGATCAATGAAAGATAGTCATCCATCTGCTAAACATAGTTTTTACTTAGCAACTTTTCTGCACAACCAGCCAAATTCCAAACAAAATCAAATTCCACTTACAAAAAGGAAAGCTTATGTTTGATATATTCTCTGCTATTTAATATTTCTTTAAAAAAAATCAGAAGACAGTATAGGGGACTATATTGTCAGTACCTTAATTTAAAAAATAGATGAGGGAGATCATTTCATCTGCTCATGTAAACCTTAGGTTTAAGTTTTTACAACAGGTGGCCATTTCAGAAATGGAAGTTACAGCTAATCAAACACTTAGCCCACATGCCTTGGTGATTTTAATGATAAGATTTGTTGCTATGAGACAAAAACGTGTTGTGCGGGAAATAATCTGTTAGAAATCATATGACCTTGATTCAAAGGCTTTTGATTAACAGCACTAACATCCGCTTTCTGGAAAAGAAACAAACCCTATGATTAGAGCCTGGTAGTTCTTTTAAAGCAAATAAAACCTTATTAGCCACTTATTAATGGATACGGGAAGGAAAAATTGCTTCAAACATTAAAAACGTTCAGGGCCACTGGCAAAGTTTCTCTTCTTTTGCCTTGTCTTTGTTCTTCTTACTTTCAGAGGGAGGCACTGAAAAAAATGGACAGCAGATGAGAGTAATCTAGAAGAGCCAATACCTAGCAAGCAGGTTGTGCCGTCCTAAATGGCTTCTCTTCGCGCACGCACGTGTGTGTGTGTGTGTGTGTGTGTGTGTGTGTGTGTGTGTGTGTGTTGAGTTGGCTTTATAACTCTTCAGTCTCCATTCATTCATTCATTTATTGAGCTTCCCCAGGAGCCAGCACTGGGCTTGGAGAAATGATGACAAACAGACACAGTCTGTGCTTTCACAGAACTTAGATGCTAGAAGGGAAGGCAGACAAGAAGTTGATAAGTAAGTCATGCTTACTTAAACAAACACGTAAGTGCTATGAAGAAAATAAAATGGGGGTCAGGGGGAATAGGATAGGACAACTAAGTGAACAGGTGATATCTGAGCTGAGCCCTGAATGACAAGATGTTGATATGTAAAGACATAAGGCAAAAATATTCTGGGCAGAGAAGATGGCAACTCAAGGTCCCAGAGGTGGGGACAAACTTGGGATGTTCAAGGTGAAGAAAGATGGCCGGGGTAGTTGGGGCTCAGTGAGCATGTGAGAGCGTTGGAAGAGGTAAGAGACCAAGGAGGACTGGGATCTGTTTATGCAGGGTGGATTTTAAGTGCAGTGGGGTCTCTGGAGGGCTGTACCTACAGCTGGTTTTGTAAACGGCCCACTCATGCAAGACCTAGCTAAAAGCAGGCTGGCCTCGCCTGGTGAACTGATGGCAGCGGCGCTTTCTGCCCGTTTCTAGTGGGGAAAAAGGAGCAGCAGTAGTGACCTGCCCTGTTGGCCCAAAACTGGCCATCTGGACGCCTTGGGATATATCTGACCAGCGCCGGGAAGGCTGTAAAAGCAAAACCTGCACAGTGTATCTTGTCCTAGAACACAGGGGTCCCTGTTTCTCCATTCTTAGAGATGCTCTCCAAATCATGGTCTTCTTTTCCAGCCGTGGGGCTGGGATAGACCCAGGCAGAAGCCTCTTCCCCTTCCTTAATCCTCTAATGTTATGGCCAGTCCTAAGCAATAGTAGGGCAAGGGTTACAGTCAGAGCCAAGAGACAACCTGGGTTGGAAGGGAATGGTCACTTTTGCCAGAGGTAACATGACAGAAAGGACCTGGTTAGTGTCACAGGTCAAAGCAAACAATAGATTAAATGCAGGGAATCTGACCATGCTTGAGTGACTGGCTTGGGCACATTTCCAGAGTCATCCAGTCAAGTTTCCTGCATCCAGACAGTGGGGATCTTGAGGCAGCCACACCAGTGAACACACACATTGTTTGCCTTCTGTTCTGTGTTGAAAGACATCATTCCCCTGAACATTTCCCTGAAAACATCAATGGCTCCTGACTATTTACCAAGCTAAGAATGGAATTCCTAGCCCCATTCTCACCCTCTACATTCTGGTTCCAACCTGTCAGGTCTGTTACTTTCTTGCTTGCTTGCAAGTTATATTTCACTTTCTATCCCTGCATGTATCCTACTTACAGTGGGAAAACTTGATTATTACTTTTTATAATCAGAAAAAAGATAAAGACTACTATATATATTTGTGGAAAAATAAGATTCCTTCTTGTCCGAACTAGCTATGCCTCCAGGACCATCCAACTTCTTATGTTGGCTCGTCGGAGGAGCTTATGGTTCATTTTGCAAGGTCACCTACTTGGCTCTCTCCAGTTCCCTCAAAGGCTGGGCCCACCCCCAAGCCGCATCCCCACCCCTCAGATTGCCTGCACTTGAGCCCCTTTGGGCCTGGGAAATTCCCTCAGAGCCTTCCTCCCTCAACTGTACTGGGTTCCCTGCATACCTCCTCTGGTCTCAGTGCTCTTCTCTCACCTGGACAGGCAGGCTGCCCTCCTTCCCTTGAGACTCTGCTGCTCCTAGGGTTGGCAGGGACCAACTTCCTCTTAGGTTACACAGTCACGTAAGTCGCTGCCAGGCCTGGCTGTGCTCCGAGCCCTGCCCTCTTCTAACTGTCCTGGCCTCAAGTGCATGTGGGCTTTAGCAAGAGAGGACCAAAAAAATTGGATGTCATTGCCAACTGGTTAGCTTTTTCCCAGGGGTATGAACCAAGTTCTCATTCATTAATTTCTTCATAATAAAAAGTGGTGTGTGTGTGTCCACTGGGGAGAAGAAAAAGAGAGTAGTGATTCTGCATCTATCATGGGGACAATTTCTCCTAGCCTTGGGTTCTGGAAACTTGGAGAAATTACGGTAGGAATGGTGGTGTGGGAGAGGTCTTCATAGTTGGATTATCCTAAGTGTTTTATTAAAATAGGGGCCTGTGTGAAGCTTTGCACTTTCCAATTAGAACACCAAACTCGGGATTTCACAGATGTTTTTATTTTACGAAAAAGCCCACAATGACTCACTCAATTTAATGAAAACTATCAAGTAAATGATAGTACGGAAATATGGCAGACATCATAGAGATGGTAACTGATATCTGGAATCCTCAGCTGGTATCAAGACAAAAATGTTCACTGAACTTGCCTCTCCTTTCACACGAAGGGTCTAGAGTCAGTTTTCCCTGTTCTCTTGGCTGTCTTCACCTACAGATGGCCACACCTACCCTCGAGCAGCATACCAGCAAGTGATCCAACCGGCTCTGCCTGGGCAGCCTCCACCTGGGGCCAGTGAAAGAGGCCCACACCCTGTGCAGAAGGTCATTCTGAATTATCCCCGCCCCTGGGACCAAGAAGAGGGGCCCGCGCAGAGAGACTATTCCTCCCCAGGGCCCCCGAGGTATCAGTAAGTACTAGAGGGCCAACCTGCAGACAGTTTTAACATGAAAAAGCATGATGCCAATGCAGTCAAATCGAGGCGTACCAAAACTCTGTTGTTCTTACTGGCCAAGTCACACAGTGGAATGCCCTACATAGTCTTTTCAGGTCAGAAGGAAATGGAAACTGGTTGACAAGAGTCTCTTAACCAGGCATATAAAGCCACTGATGACTGACCAAAATTCTGTTGAAAGAAAGGCTCTTAAGATACTAAATCATACTTGCTTCTTTTACCTTCAGATCACTGGCCTTTTAGCCCATGAAGCAGATTTTTAGTTTTACTATGACTGACTTCCACCTCTAGGAAGTTCCGTTTTATATCACTAGTTTGTATACCTGTTTAAACCCATTTCTTACTTTGGAATTTTAAATTCAATTAGTTCCCAGTAGAAATTTAAAATAACCTGTGATTTTCTTTTGTAACAAAAGCGCTCACACCTGTTGAATGCTATTATTAGGTCTTCCCTATACTTCTTCCAGAAAAATAACTCTGGTTTTTCTTGACTTCAGTTGTCTAACACCTCAATCATCTTTCTCCTCACTGTTCTCTTTTGACTCTTCTTCAAGTTTTATTTTTCTCTCAATTTATGTAACTAAAATATATAGGAAAAACTCATGTAAATGGAGCTTCCCAATTTATGGCCTTAGGATTTCTTTATCAAATGAGCAATTATCTTTTATAACAATCAAACAACTTTGGGGATAACGGGATTTAATGCCAGATGAATAGCAAACTGGATTCCCATTAGCTGAAGGCCTGTTTTATAGGATTTTTTTCCTCTAACTAATAAAAACATAAAATAAAAATAACTTCCTCAAATATTCACATTTAAAAAATGCAGTTTGGATTATGTGTAGTTTAATTTAAAATCCTATTGCATACATCTCAGAATTTCCAATTCCTTTTTTGGGTAAAACTATGAAAACATAAGCAATAATCTATTAAAAGTTGGCATGTACATACAGATTTTTGTCATCAAGACCTTTTTTTAAATTTAAAATAATCCGAAACACAAAACAAATGGAAACATCCATGTTCCTGCTACCTGGAAATTTAAAATGTTAATACAGTGCCACATTTGGGTCAGAAATTTTTTTTAAAGAAAAAAAAATTAGCCCCCTTATCAGTTAGGATTCAAAAGAACAACTCTAGCTATTTTAAGCAGAAGGAATTTGATTTAGAAACTGGGTGCTTACAAAATAATTGGAGTTTGGAAGAGCAAACTTGAGACAAACTTGAGACAAATTTGAGGATGGCCCCAGAGCAACCCCGCAGAAAAAAGACACCAACGAGGCTGCTCCCTTTGTTGTGGTCAGAGAGGCAGAGGGTCCGAAAGGCACTGCGGAACTTTCCCTTCCTGGCCACGCTGCCGCAGTACAATCCAGAGTCAGGGAGCCGGCGGCACAAAATGTTATTGTGCCTGCTAGATCAGCACTGGTCAAAAATAGACGCCCATGCCCTGACCTTGACACTGAGAAGCTGCTAACGGAACACTGGGGTGCTTCCCGAGGAACTCGGCGCCTCATGACGGCACTTACCAACAGAAACCACGGAAGCAGCAGACGCATGGCTTCCGTTTTCTTCTGGCTTCCAACTCTCACACGAGTGCGTCTGATAGTTCTTCTAGCAGAATGTTCATGGGAATGTTGGCAACCAAAACAATAATAAAGATGCCATACAACCATAGGGTAGGAACTTTCTGGAAGAATCTTCAATATCATATTTTCATCCATACATTGCAACATAAATACTTTTAAATTTACATGGCCATTTCTACTTTTTGATACATAATTAAATGTTATATCTATCATGAGGTCGAAGTCCTTTTTATCTGAATGCCTGTAATGCCAACCTTGTATCACAATATATCATGTTTTACTGGTGACCTTATAAGCCCTGTGCATGAGACTTATCTTCCCAGGTAGACAGTCTTTGAGTTGAGAAATCCAATCCTGCTTTCTTCTTTGGACCCCTAGCGCAGGCCCCTGCTTATGGCAACCTGCCCTATTACTTATTAACCAAAACTCCATGGAGCAACCCTTGTCTCTGTGGCTCAGAAAATAAAAGGAAGCAGAGGAGAGAGATAGCTCATTGGTATCTTCCCATAGTTCTTAAAACATCCCTGTTTCTCAAGGTGTGCCTTTCTTGAAAAGGAAAATTTTATTGTGAATGTATTCCTTTCCAGGGACCAGCTGTATAACCAGCCACGTAACAGAACTGGAACTCCTGAGGAGTCCTCAGAGTGTCCTGCAGAGTTGAGACCACAGGGTCCCCAGGCTCCGTCCCCAGCTGCCATCCCCAGACCCCCTAGTAACCCTCCAGCCAGAGGAACTCTGAAAATAAGCAATTTGCCAGAAGAATTACGTAAGTTGTTTTCAGTGTCTTTTTTTTTTTCTCATCTTGTCCAGTTGTATACTTTGAGAGTACCTCATGATTATTCATCCATAATCTTGGATATTTTTCATAAAAATAAAATTTACTCTTTTGCTTTTTGCTAAAAAAGTAACCAACATTTTGTATGACTGTTTTTAGTGATTTTGACACTACCAGAAATACTCAAAAAGTGCTTACCACTAGATTTTCTTAAACATACACTCCAACAACAAACAAACCCAATGCTTTTTCCCCGCTTCTAAATGATGCTCTTGAGTGGACTTGTCCCTGGGTAAATTGATTGGATATCCATGTGGTATTGGCCAGGGAACTAGCGTCTCACCATAAATTAGCAGCAGCCATCAAGAACGAGGTCATTTCCTGTAGGAATGAGCAATCTTGTTGGGAAAAAGCAGTCTCACATTCTCCTTACTGCCTTATGACCAAATGCAAACTAAGCCTTTTATTTAAAGAAATACTTGACTATGTGTCAGGTGATGATTCCTTTTCCACATTTTGCAGCTAGAAACAGAAATGTTGAAATATCACCAAAATGTTCTCCTATTATGGTCAGTTAGGATAGTAAGTTCTGGAATTTTTAAGAAAACAGCCACCACTTGTAAAATTATTATATTCTGCTGTGCTTGCTCAAGAAGCTCAGGTAATTCTAAGAATTCCTGTCCAAATCTTGGCACTTCTTTGAACCAAGCTTGAAAATTGAACCTTTTACATTTGCTAATTCCTATTGAGATCTGTGCTCTTAGTCATTTAGGATTTGAAAGATTTCTATTACAAGGATCCATTGTTGTTTTTCATTCAAAAATTGTTAAAATCTTACACATTTTAATTTTGAGCATTTCTGGAAAGTGGATGCTACCCTGAATAGGATACAGTCCTAGTGTCCGTCTATAAATCGTATTTATCTTACTGTAATCTATAAAGGGAGTCCTAAAATTCTTATATAGGAATTTGTTGAATATTAGGTGTTGAGAAAAAAGAAATCGAGTGCCCCTGATACACCTGGCTCCTTAACCAAGAGCCAGTAGGAGCCAATATGACCTTTGTACACACTTGCATTTGAGAGACGTGTTTCAAAAAACAGGAGCCTAAACATAAATTAATATATACAGACTCCTATTTTCTCTCCAACTCCAGTCTCTTCTCCACTCTCTGCCCCAGGGGCTTCCTGAGATTTAGTGGATTCATTCCAGACTAAAAACCAACACACGGAGATTTTTCATCTATCACATTAACGTGCTAGCCAGATAATTTCCCCAAGGCTTACGCCTGAGAAAACCCTGATTCTCACACTGACTGGGTCAAGTGTGGAGGCACAATACTGTCCATTGCTCTAGGTCAACCTGGGGAGCCGTGAGGGAGGCAGTGATGCCAGACCGCTCAGAGGCAATATCTCTCCTTCAAACTGCTGAAGCTTTAGTGACATTTCTGAGTCGTGCTTTAGTCTACTCCAACTTCCTGGCCTTTTCCCCACCACGGTGTGGATGGGGAGGGAGGGGGTGGGGCACCATTTTCCCTCTTCCCTCACTTGCTCATGTCAAGCAAGAATTCACGGCAGCAGAGAGCATCATGAGATCAAAGGAGGACACTGCACAGTGGCCCCTTAGCAAGACTCAGCTTCTTGGCCTGCTGTGAGAGTATTCCTTAGGCACAGTGCCAAGTGTCTCTAAGAAACCAGGTGGTGCCCTGATCTTAAGGACATGCAGGTTCAGGGGAATGGATTTTTTGTTAAATGCATCGTGTGGTTTTTCAGAAGACCTCCTTAGCTTGTCTCAGCCTGCCAGCGCTCCCCCCTGTGCCTCTTCCTTTCCATGCACCCAAGCCGGTCTGCGTGACCTTGGACAGACCCCCTGCTCTCCGGGGCCTGCAGACCTGTGTCCTGAGGACAGCAATGCACACTGCCACCCACACATGCCCTTAGGCCAGCCCCCATCCAGAGGCTGCCTTTGTTATTCTAGAAGAACAAAAGACATTGCATGAAGTTGACAAGTGTTGTCCAAAATATCATTATTATTAATTGACTAGTTTCTAATAACTGTGAAAAATCTCTCTTAGGGAAAGTGTTTATCACTTATTCTATGGACACAGCTATGGAGGTGATGAAATTTGTGAACTTTTTGCTGGTAAATGGCTTCCAAACTGCAGTAAGTATTTTATTCAAAGAGAAGACTGAACAATTAAAGTGAGTACAGGAAAAGAAAAACAAAAGGAGACAAATAGTAACAGCTGTTAATGTTTTAAAATATATTATTTGATATACGTGACTGTGCACTAAATACATATGAATTTAGGTAATTATTTTTTTATTTTAATGTATCCCAAACCTCCAGTATGTTTTTCTTGCATCCTTTCTGAGTGAGTGACCCGGAGGACCTCGCAGCAGCCCAGACGTAGCTGACCCCTGGCCTGAAGGACATGCCAGCCTCTTGCTGCACTTTGTACCTTTGCCCTGTTTCATGCCCGCTTTGATTGTGCTTCCTGATGCAGAAGGCTGCAGGCTTCACCAGGCCACCCGCTTATTTTACAAGGTCTTTTCTTGGGTACTGGGCCTGAAGCAGAAGCCCTGCAGCCTGGGCCCCCACTGTGCACAGCTGCCGTTCCACATCTGGATGCCACAGCGATGCTTCTACAGCATGGCCAGGTTCTCGGCTGGCCTAGTCTAGTTCCAGGGGAGGTACACAACCCAGCCCTCCAGTTCACTGTGATCTTGGCTCAAGAAATCTCAGGAAGCACATGCTCCGCAAGCCCCCCTGCAGTGCCTTGCAACAGCTTAAAGCCAAGTAACTTTTTCTTTAGAATAAATAAAATATCACAGGGGGCTAGTGGGAAGACTGGCTTTCCTCAAACAGTGAAATCACTTCTTTTCCTTCCCAGAGGCTTCTTCTGGGTGTTTAGTGACAGTGAATTCTACAGAGTGGCAAAAAATTAAGGGAACTATCTATGGATAGGAGGAGCATTAAAAGATAAAGAAGGAATATTTAGTAAATAAATGCCCATTTGAAAGGTTATTTGACATTATTTAACAGCAGTTTTTAATTTGAATTTTTTTTAACATATTGTTAATGGAAGTGCTTGAAAGTTTAAAAAAGCATACGATTTATACCCTCCAACTTCATGACCATAGAGAGACCAACATTTCAATTTCTCATCTCTGGAATAAGAAAGTGCTATGGCAACCACAACATAAAGGCAAATTACAGCACGTAAGGCCAACATGTCAGGAAAGATCTTATTTTTGGTCATTTCCAAATAAGCATACTGATTGCCCCAGGAGAAGCGGACAGGTTTTTGTGACCTTGACAATCAGGGGCAGCGTAGGCAGCATTTAAAGGGCTCCTCAGCCCTCATCTCTGTGAAGCACCTGTGGCAGAATCACAGCACCCAGTCCCGACAGCCGCGTTACCCAATTGATACATTAAGATCTCCTTAGTGGAGAAAAAACTTCATGGATAATTTAAGGAGAGTTTTAAAGAGAATATTTTTAAAACTCTAGATACGTTTTGGGGAATCCACAGGGCATTGTTCAATATCCTGGGAAGAGCAAAAGCAGGGCGTTGCTACCACCCATGGGTGTAAAGAGGCCAAGAACCGCAGTACTGCAGCCTGAAACGGGTGGCTGCGTTGGTTGGCCAGGGCTGCCACAAAGTACCGCAGGCTGGGAGGCTTAACGGAAATTTATTTCCTCACAGTCCTGGAGGCTACAAGTTCAAGATCAAGATTTCAGCAGGATTGGCTTTATTCTGAGGCTTCTACCTTGGCTTGTAGACGGCCATCTTCTCCTTCTGTCTTCACTGGTCTGTCTTCTGTATCCTAATCTCATCCTATAAGGACATCAATCCTATTGGATCAGAGAGCACCCATATGACCTCATTTACCTTAATTACTTCTTTAAAAGCCCCATCTCCAACCATATTCTCATTATCAAGCACAGGGGAAGGGGATTAATACTTGAACATGACTGGGGGGCGGGGCACAGTTTGGCCTGTAACAGTGACCATGTGGAGAGGTTGGCCTGACAGAAGCTGTGGACTTTGGCAGAGATCTGGAGAGATAAATGGAAGACATCCAGTGCATTGTGCCTCCCAGAATGTCCAGCTCACAGCAGGGAATAATTGAGGTGCTGGGATGATAATAATAATAACTATTTATTGAGCACCTACATCATGCCTGGCATTATGAGATGTCTTTTCCACGTTAACTCATTTTAATCCTCACAAACACCCTAGGAAGTACATTTATTAACCACATATTACAAATGAAGATAATAAGACTTAGAGAATTGCAGTAATGTTTTCAAAGCCAGGCAAGTGGGACGTGCAGAAGCCAATGGTGGAACCAAGAGTATAGCCAAGTTGTCTGTCTCTTCTCAGCCCCAACAGGTGCTTCTGACTTGTATAACAGAAATGGGTTACTAACACAGTAGCAGAGAGTTAACAAAAGCTTTCTCAAGATTACTTAATGTAGTCTTTGGACATCAGACATTTTAAAGTAGCAAATGGTCATCCAAACCAAAAAGAATGCCATTCCATGCTTGCTGTCCCATCAGTAAAGGAACACATCCTGAACTCCTATTACGTCCTGTATGTACCTGCCAGTTGGGTGCATATGAAGCACAGTCTCATTCTAGGAGGCTTGGACCCAGGTTGAAGAGATAAGACAGACATAAATGAGACATCTAGGAAAAGAGAGAAGGTTATAATAACATGTTCATTGTCCAGTACCACTCATGGCCACAGCGGGGTAGAGTTTGGGGAAGGTTCAGAGAGCAGGGGGCTTACACTGTGCTTTCAGGGTACAGTGCAAGGCCACCAAAGTAAGGAGTAAAGTAGGTGGGCACGTGGGGAGAAGAGAGGTAAGACTAGACGGCAGAGGGCACAGGAAGCTTGCGGAATGACTAGGACTCGACTTGATCAGCCCTAAACAGCAGAGTGCCACTTCGGACAACCGATCTGGGAGCAGTGTGGCTGAATCAACTAACGCCGCCTCAGGACACTCTTCCCAAATCACCCATTCCAGCATGGAATCCCCCTTCCCATCAAGAGCCCCTTGTGCACACTCACTAATCTCTGGCCGCAGGACAAGTATGAACCCAAGGCTTTATATCTGGTCTTCTGTAAAACAAAATAACTGGCTTTTCTCCCCTTCCAATACTCCTTCAAAGACTTCATTCAATATGTCTTTTCAAGGTCCAGAATGTCTACTTCTTTATTTTCATCATAAGCCTTTCCTCCACTATCTTAGTAATTGTTTGTGTGACTATTCTTTGGATTTGCCCCAAGTTTCATACAATTCTTTATAAACATATAGATTGAAACTGGACATAATACAGTAATAATGATCTGACTAATGCAAGTAAAGCATCACAGTTGTATCTTAATCCTTGCACACCATGTATCTATTAAGATGTTCCAGAATCATGTTTGCCTTTCAAACTGTATATATATTTGGTTTGTCTATTGTTGGCTTACCTCCAACTTGATGGTCCATGTCTCTCAGATTTTTAAAACATAATTATTGTGTAGGCAAAGATACATTTTGATCCCTACCTGTACATCCTAATAATGGATTTTAAATAGTTCAATGCTTAGTAATGTTGAAATAGGAAACATTTTAAGAAAATTGTACTGTGTTTTTTAGACGTACATGCTCCTCCCTGCAAAAAGCTGTAGTAATTTTTTCCGTTTTAAATGTATATAGCCTTGTGTTTTCTCCTACTCTGCATCAAGATAAAGCTTCTCATTAAGAGCCACCTCCCACGTCTTTTTCTTGTAGATTGACATTTTTGAGGATAGAATCCGAGGCATTGATATCATTAAGTGGATGGAACGCTACCTTAGAGATGTAAGTATATTCCGAAATGCTGAGTTTATTTTCTGGTGAGAAAGACAATTAGCTTGTGAAGCTATGTTATAAAAGAAGCACTAGCGTGCCCCCCCCCACCCCACCACTGAGTCCAAAGCTGAGGAAGGACCAACAAAGCCTCCCTTGTTGGCAGCCCTGCAAAGACTTGGAAAGGAAGGATGGGGTCGCCCTCCTGGACATGCACAGGCAGGAAATAACGGTCAAACCAGACACAGGTGGTTGATAACAATCAGAGCAAACAATTTTTTGACCAGAATAGGAAAGGAGGAAATGAAGGCGGGAGTGGGGAGGGAGCGGCAGAATTCAATTTAATCTGAGGCCACCCCAAGTGTTTTGCAGGACTGGACTGAAGAGCTTTCCTGGGCATTTTGTGCTTTAACAAGATAGAAATTGATTGTTGCCAGCGTGTCCATGTCGGCGCATTGGCTGCTTCTTTCAGAGAGAGAGCGGTGGGGGCAGAGCGTCAGCAGGCTGGGGTTTTGTGGCTTTTCCTTTTGTCTGCAGCCTGGCGTTTGCTTTGTGCTGCAGGGTCTAGTCCTGGCCGCTACAAGCAGGGCAGGCAGGAGTGCAGCAACTGGCAGCTTAGAGCTGCTGCAGGGGGGAGGGGGTTTTCATCATTGGTGTTGCAGAGCCATTTTTCCACGATGCAGAATCACTTAGTGATCCGGGCTTTCATTAGCCGTTTATTAGTGATGGTTGTGGAAAATGGTGGATAAAACCGCATCCATTTAGAAGCGTCCCTCTCCGAGCCACTGGCTCTGCGTGTTTGAAGGGATCTGGGGAGGGAGACAGAGGGGAGAAGGGCAGACAGGAGTCTGCCGGAGCGGGGCCGGTGCCTTTCCCTGTCCGTGGAGAACGAGCCCAGCCCTCCATCCTCCGCTGTGTCAGAGGCAGCGTCCAGCCCTGCTGGCCACGTTCCAGCCTGCCTTCACCAAATGGACTACACTTCACACTTTCGTAAACATGCTTTCTCCCTCTCATTAACAGAAGACAGTGATGATAATCGTAGCAATCAGCCCCAAATACAAACAGGATGTGGAAGGCGCTGAGTCGCAGCTGGACGAGGATGAGCACGGCTTACATACTAAGTACATTCATCGAATGGTGAGTGGTGACTGGAACCACAGCACCTCGTGGCCCTGGGAGAAGGGCTTTTTCTTCCGTGAAGGCTTGTCCTTCACCAGAGACCAGGTGAAGGTGGCAGATACAAGTGAAGAACCCCAGGCAGGAGAAGGACTGGCAGGCTCTGCCCCTTCTACCTTTGGGACCGTGGGCAGTGCACCGCACCTCTGAGGCTCCGTGTTTCTATGAGCGACAAGGGGAAATTAATCTATGATCTCTAAGTTCAAAGATTCTAGAAAGCAGAGCTCTGCTGGCTTCATTATTTACCAACAACTGTGAAGTCCTGGGAGGGGCCCCAGGTAGGGCTGTAAGGAGCAAGGCTCCTGCATTAGTGTCCTATCCTATTGGTGTCGTATCCTGTCCCCTGTTTTTTCACAGAGGCAGGGTAGCCAAGTGAAAAGGACTTATGCTGTTGTGTCAGACTTGGTTCAAATTCACCTTCCTCCTGTGTAGGTTGTGTGACCATGGGCCAACTGCTAAGACTCCTTTGTGCCTCTATGTCTCTATTCATAGAATGGGTCACTAATACTTACCATGCTGTTGTAAAGATTAAATGAAATGTTTTTGAAGTGTATGGCACATATTGAATGCTCAATCAAGGAAAGCGATTATTGTTCGTAGTTCATGAACTATGGGGCCTGGTCAAGCTAAAACCGGAGGGAGAAATGTATAGGGCGTTAGATGTACTGAGCATCTGTTGGAACACACTGACTGGCTGCTCTATGGGCTAGCAGTCTTCCTGCTTCCTGTGATTGTAGAGATACTTTGAAGACAGTCCTGCCTGACAAGGATGCCAGACTAGACCTGCGACTTTCGAACTCTCCCAGGGAGTCCCTAATGGGTGCTCCTATGGAGGTGCCGGGGAAGTGGGTGGTCTGGGCCTCTCACCCATCTCCGCCAGAGCTCATCTGCCTTTCTCACGCTTGTTTGTTTACCAAGGATTCTGAGGTTTTAAAGGTCTTGAAAATCACTGGACTAGAACTTGGGAGCCCCATGTCAGCCCTAACATTCTGCAATGAGGGAAGGTACCTAGAATGGGCCTAAAGGATTGCTGGCTAGGCCAGAAGGATGAGGCAGGGAGCAGAAGTGGTCCAGATGGGATAAGGGAGCAGCAAAAGGCAGGGGGCAGTCAGGCAGCTGAGGGACGTGCAGCTTGACCTCAAGGGAAGTTGACTTAAATCAGGCCTGTCCTGAAGATCAGGAGCACAGGAAAGAGGCAGAGTGTGTGGGTATTCATCACCTGAGCCTGCGGGGTCTCTGTCTCCTCCTCTAGTAAGTGCCGACCACTTGTTTGAGCTCAGAATCAACCCAGAGTAAAAGCCAAGGCAAAGTGGTGAGGTTAGAGAGTGATGCCAAGGAGCCATCAGACATGTCTCCCTCTATTCCATTCTCTCCCAGTCTGACAGCCCATGGGTAGGCCCAGAAAAGGATCATTTCTGTCCTAAAAGGTCATGGCTGGCCCTGGGTGCTGCCATCCCTTCATTGCCTACTGCTGCACGTCTGCTGGGCCCCAAGCACTCGATGTCCTGTCTGCATCTCTAGGAACCAGCCAGTCCCGGGAGCTGACAGCTGGTGTGTAGGAAGGGCTCCAGGTCCCTTCCAGTTCCTGGGGAAACTTGTCAAGCTCTGCTGGTGTGTGGCAATGCCAGGCCGTAATGTACAGCTCAGCCCCAGAGCTTGCCTGACTGTGCCGTTATGAACCAGATTGTCTCCAAACAGTTTCTTCGGGCAACAATGTCTTGGGCCCTTCCTCATCACTAAAGGGCCTGAAAAGGCCAGATACAGAAGTGCCTTCTGCCCACCTGGCTGCTTTCCTGGTCCCTTCCAGGCAGCAGCAAAGTCCAGTATGGAGGGTGTGAAGAGATGCCCAGGAGTTAACGGCATCACAGAGCCAACGACTTCACAGAAAGCCAATATCTGGAAATATGAGAGAAAATAAACATGCACTGCTGCTGGCTGGCCCCTCCACAGATTGAGTAGCCTAGTGAATAAACAGTTTTACAGTCTACACAGTCCTGGAAGTTAGACATGAAATCCATTCTTCGCTTTAGCGTGTAAACTATGCCCTTCCTTTCATGTGTTTGTACTGATGTGGTGGGTGCTTTTAGTTGCACAGTACTTGGGTCACTTTAAAACGTGCTTTTGGGCCCTGGACTGTGTGGCTCTGTTGGTTGGAGCATTGTCCTGTAAACTAGAAGATCGCAGGGTTGATTCCCAGTCAGAGCACATACCTAGGTTGTGGGTTTTATCCCCTTTGGGGCACATACAAGAGGCAACCCATCGATGTCTCTCTCTCTCTCTCTCTCTCTCTCTCTCTCTCTCTCTCTCTCTCTCTTTATCTCTCTCCATCCCCCCACCCCCCACCAAGGCATTGAAAACAAACAACATGCTTTTGGTGTTGTCATCCAATTTTCAAAAGGAGGTGTTTCTGCAAAAACACCTTATGGATAATTTGTGTGTGTTTACAAATAAGCGTGAGTGTGTAAGAGTGCGTGTTTATGAGGGGTTTCTTTGGTGAATTCATTGCCACCGTCACATTCTTCTCAGTTCTGTTTTTATTCCATGCACGAAGAAGAACGCTCTGTAATAAAAATCAATTGGAAGGTGAAATAGTCGGGAACTCGTAATTCCTCATCTCCCTGTCATCAGAAGACTGAACACTTGGTGCTGGTCACAGGATTTGGAAAACTCTTGATTCCTCTTCTATTGAAAATGCTGGTTTTGATAGAGTTTCTGGCAGTTAAATCTTTTTGGGCCACTACAGTGTCAGAGTGAATTGGAACTGGTGTGGGAAGCCTAAAGCTTGGAAGACAGCTCTTCACAGTGGACCTCCCAGCCTGTCTTCTGTCTTCTGCTCCCTCCCAAGCCCATCCTATCATCCAGCTGCAAGGCACTATTAGCAGGTCCCCGTCCTCTAACATATTTTAACTCCTCCAGACATTTGCTCAGGCTTTTTCCTCTGCTGAGAAGTCCTTCCTCTCTCCCCCATTTTCCGTGCCTGACCAAATCCTTCTTCCAAATGACACCTCCTCTGTGACGGTCCTTCAAAGCACTGATGTAGAATAGATGGCCCCCATTTTAGGCTTCCACGCAGTTTGTTCATACTTTTCACGCTGCACTGTGATGGTAATTTACCTGTCTGACTGCTGGTTAAACTGCTGGCTTTGTAAGCACAGGGCTTGTATCAGTGGGATTCTAGTAAACTGGCCCCCTCTCGCCCCCCAGCAAATCCTGACTCATGGCACTTGCCCACTTCATGGTATAAATACTATCACCGCGGCCAATTTCAAGCTACCAATGTGAAGTCACTGAACACAGAATTGGGAAGAGGCACACAGTCGGCTTTTGTGGGCTGGTGTGAACCAGCTCGGCAGACCCTAAAAGGCATCCTAATTCTTGAAATCCAGTCTAGCAGAGAGTGTGACTTTGAACAGGCCTTCAATAAATGATTGGCAAATGAGTAAATGGCACAGATGTGTAACAGGGAGAGCTTCAGACTGTAAGGACGTGGCAGTCAAATAAGAACGACAGAATAAGAGTACGGTGTGGACCTGCATGATTGCAGGTACCATTAATCCTCATCCTTGGTCCTGAAATTCAACCTTGAATTTGTTCTGTTCCAGATGCAGATTGAGTTCATAAAACAAGGGAGCATGAATTTCAGATTCATCCCTGTGCTCTTCCCAAACGCTAAGAAGGTAAACAAACAAACAAAAAAACCTTAGAGTTCAAGCTTTGCTTTGTTTTTCTACCTGGGATTTTAAGTGGAAAACCTTGTCAACTCTTTATCACTCCTTAGAGATAAGTGTCACGAGAAAGATCAACAAGTTGTACCACTCAGTTCAGCAGCATGAATCAAGCATTATCTGGTAGACCATCTCTGTCCTAATTGTTCAAACAGCCATTACACACAAAGAAGTTGCTTGTGTTTTAACTTCTGAGCAAAAAGAGACTGTTCATCTGATACTTCTTATCTCTTGTACATAAAAGTCAAGATGTGTACATTTTTTGCTGCCTGTTCCACGGAAGTATTTTCTTGCACTTAGTTCAGCTCTCAAAGCTGTAGAATACAGGAATGAAATCTACACAATTACCAAAGTAAACTTTGCTCTGGCTCACATGAGGATTTTTGCACCAGAAGGACGTGAAAGCAGGTTTGGGGGATGGGGCCAAAAAACCATCTGAGGCCATGCACCAGGCTTGGCAAAGGGACGGAGTGGTGTAGGAAAAGTCTTAAGAGTCAGAGCGCAGCTCCCTGAGCTCAAGCCCAGCTTCACCCTGGAGGATTCCTAGACGCCAGAACTGCATGGCACTTCTGCCCTAGATGGGGGAGGGTCCCAATTATGTGAACGAGAACCTAGGGCTGCAGAGCTGACAGCCTGCACGATCGCATGCCTTTCCATCCTTTGCCCAGCCGGGCTCTCATTGCTCTCCCTGCAAGATCTCCTTACTGGTCTCTTTGCCTCCACTTTGACCCATCCTCTCCTCTGCCCTCAAAGAAGAACATTCAAAATGTAGCTCTGAACTCTCTCCAGCTGCGTTTTGTAGTGGTTTCCCACTGACTACAAGATCATATCCACCCTTCTTTCATGTTTCTGTGCCTTTGCACGTTCCTTTCTCTCTGCTTGCAATGCCCTTCCCTGACTCGCCTGTCTGGTGAACTCAAGCTTATCCTCGGGTTACCCAGCCTCTCTAGCCTCCCCTGATCTGTCTTCCCCTGCGCCAACCTTGATTCAGTGGCATGTGGTTGGAGGGAAGGCACTGGGAGTCATTGTTTAGAATAACTGGAGCATGGTGACAGAAAAAGCCGATTGACTTTTTGTTGGCTTTATTCGTGTTTTTAAAACTTCTTCAGACAATTCCTTTGTTGCCTGTGCCCGGGGCAGACTGCTCCCACCATCTGCCCCCTGGGTATGCCGTTGCCTAGAAAATGTTTTTTATTCTGTACATTTTGACTTCCTCGTGAGAGGATTAACTGTTCAAGGCAGTAAGTGTGTCGTTTTCATTTGGGTGTCATCAATACCCTGCGTGATGCCTGACGCATAGCGGGGGCCACTTCTAAGCTCACCCCGCAATCCCCAAAGGATGGCCACCTACTCCGAAAACCCTGCAAGGCCCTTGTGACGCGGCCCCCTCTACTTCCAAGCCCCCACCTACTCTCTCACTCGCTCTTCTCTAGCCACACTCTGTCGCTCCTCGAATAGGCCAAGCACGCTGCCACCATGGTGCCTTTGCTCTGGCTCTGCTACCCGCCTGGACCACACCTCTTTAAAGCTTGCTCCCTCCACTCCTTTCCTCAACACCCTGTTTAAAACTGCAAACCATTCATCCGGGCTCCAGCACTGCCTCTCCCCTTTCTCTGTTTTATTTTTCTCTACAGCATGTATCACCACCGAACGCACTATACCTCTTCCTTCTCCCTTATCTGTCTTCCCCCAACTGAACGGCCACTCCATGAGGGCGGCCTGAAATTGCACCCCGCTGTGCCCTGCTCACAGTTTCCGCCTCTGCCTGATAACTGAGGTCTACGGGGCTCCTCCTACCGCAAGCCAGACCTGTGGCTGGAGTGAAAGGATAATGAATTAGATTAAGCCCACAGCCTTGGCATGCTTCTTACAAAGTCACAGGGGAATTCTCATCACTCTACATGACCTCAGTCCTACCCCTTTTATGTGAGGGTGGTGAAAAGCACATTGAAATGCAAAGGGCAGGTAGCCTGGGAGACTGACAGAAAACGCTGTGCACATGTGGTTTCCATAATGAGATATACGGCTTGCACCCGAAGCCAAGAGCATGTCACAGGCTAACCCCTTCCAAAAGCAAAACAGTGCAACTCCCAGGATAGTTAAGGTAGGAAACGCCCCTGAAGAGAAAGCCATAGACGTTTGGGAACTGAGCCTGGGATCTGGAATCCAGGTTTTCCTCTAACGGCCTTTGCTCCTCTCATTCTCTCCCCTGTAGGAGCATGTGCCCACCTGGCTTCAGAACACGCACATCTACAGCTGGCCCAAGAATAAAAAAAACATCCTGCTGCGGCTGCTCAGAGAGGAAGAGTACGTGGCTCCTCCGCGGGGGCCTCTGCCCACCCTTCAGGTGGTACCGTTGTGACACCCTCCCTCCCCAGGCCAGCGGCGCCATGGCACGTCTAGGGCCCTGTTCTGACAGGGACCCTTCTAGCTGAGGCTGGTCAGCAGCATTCGTGGCTGTTTGTTTTCAGTCCCTCCCTGAGGGGTCCTCCAAGCCCAGAAAACCCGTTCTGCAGAGTCGGCTCCCTCCTGGGACCTCCACAGGCCTGTCCGGGAAGTGGAAGCCCCAGCTGCTCTGCATTTCCCGCTTCTTATACCCACTGCCTGCTCCTCCTAACAGTCTGGCCCATCCGTTCTGGGCCTCTCACTGCTTAGAAAGTAGACCACGTAAATGATGCTGCAATACATGTAAGTGACCACGAACATCCTTCCACTGCTTAAGGCCACTTTTACGTGTTGGCCAAATACTTGTGTGGCCTCAGACCAAAAGGATTCATGTACATATAATAAAAAGTTTATTCTTTTGTAACCTTGCATTTTATTTGTCTTAAAGGAGGTAGATATATATTAACTTGTACTAATACAGGCAGTTTCTTCAGGGGACATCAATAAAGCTTCTTAAATAGAATATTAGATAAATGTAACAGATACTTTGTCTTAAAAGATTTCAAGTCAGGTAAACAATCCCTTTAACATAGCCTTGAAAGCTTTCCTCTTTCAGTAGAACTTTTAAACAGAACAACTTTGTACAACACATGAACATGATTCTAAATAGAATCATAATTCTTAGGGTCTGGCTATGTATGTGAAAATATTTGTGTATTATATGAAGTGACAGGGGGTGCATGGTTTGGAAGACCTGTTTTCTAGCCTTGGGTCTATCACCAACTAGCCGTGCGACCTTAAGCAAGTCCTTTCACCTCTCTGAAACTCCAGGGACTCATTTATAAAATGACAAAAAAAAAAAAAAAAGGATCTGTAATGACTCTAAAAGGTTTAAGGTCTAGGATCTAAATTCTAAATCCTTTTTTCAGGAATGACTGAGTTTTCATTTTTGTAATTATATTTCTCAGGGGATGAAATGACATTTTCTTTAACAGGGACATTTTCTTCCTATGTTTTAAAATATCTTCAACAATACCCCCATATTAATAATTTCAGGGGGGAAAATACATATCTTGCTCATCTGGTCTACAAAAAAAGAATAAAAAAATATAGAAATATAGAGAAATATAGAGAAATATATTATATTCTACTACATAGAACAGGGAGGGATGACTTTAATTATAGCCCAAGATGGTTAAGCTAATGTGAAAACTTTTCGAGAGTGCTCCCCTTACCTGTCTACCTAACCTCCTAAGCAAGGCTCAGTTGTACCATGAGATAGCTCAACCCTTGTATGTCACCATAGGGAAGACAAATACTTCTGAGCTATAAATCAGGAACTTCGCTCATGAAATGCAAAGAACACTAGTGTTATTTACCTTGTAGCCTAGATGTCCACAGAGTAAGATCAATGTCTTTGTTTTTTAAAAAAAGAAAAGCTAGTATACCTGAAATACTCATTTGTAAGATTCAGTACCAAGTACCTTTATCTTCTTTCTCTCTTTTTCCTATCCTTTTAGCCCAGAAAAAGATAGCATCATTAAGGATTCTACACACAGTTATAAATAGAAGGACATCAGCAATTAGTTCTCGGAAATGTTTCTAGTTAGCAAAGGTTTAATAATGTGATGTTACTAGCCCTTCCTCCCTTCAGAGACCTGTGCTGAGCGCTCAGCCACTACTCCCACCCCAGGTAAACAACGAGGTCCCTGGTGTTCCCCAGACAGTCATTACAGTGTTGCGGCTGGGAGCAAAAAACCCAAAAAGTGCACATGCGCATGCACACATGACACCTGGCCAAGAGATGAAAGTTTGACCCCTGAAGTTTCTATGAAATCTGATGACCACAAACATCAAAGGAATTTTAGCAACAGCTTTAGAGCACTGACACCAAGATTAACACCGGATTCACTTAGACATTGTACTGGTCCTCGTGCATCCATCTATAGGTGTTTTGGGGGTGGAAGCGAGTACGGCTGACTCTGTAAAAATAATCCCTTAGCCTCAGACTTTATTCAGACCTAACCTGATTTTAGGCGTGACGTGTGCAGAATGCAGGGTTAGATCCCTGTCTAATATTTAGTGACTAACAATATATCAAATATAATTTCTAATTTCAGTGACTGGTTTCAAAATGTCTGCCTGTTTAGTTTAACGTCCATATTGTTCAAAGACATCTCTGTTCATGGCTACAATCAAAGTATCAGACTAGCTATTTCTCAGCTCAGTGCTCAGAAATGTTATTGCAGTTGATAAGCCTTTTCTTTTTTTCCTTTTTTTCCCTATTAAATAAATCTCCGTTTTGAACATTCCAAACCTTGTTTCATGGTCTTGCCAAGTACTCTTCTTAACCTGAGCCATTTCATCAACCATCTCATCCACTTTGCCAAACACCCCATTGTCGTCATCACCTTTGCCAAATGGATTACAAAGTCCTATGATCACTGGGAAATGATCCAGAAAGAGTCTCTCAGAACACAGGATCTTTCTGTTTCTTCTTAATGAACCAAGAAGAATCAGTGAGACCCACCTCCTAGGGGCAATTGAAAAGGCAAGGAAGGTTAGACTGTGGGAAAATATCACAAAGGAGAAGTGCCACTTGCCCTGAAGAATCATGCGCTGTTTTTCAAGAAAATAGCTCTATATGAACCCACCAACCAAATAGACAAAAACGAGGCAGGAGAAAGAAAGCACTAAAATCACAGAGATCAGAAAAGCCAGAGGAGCCCAAGAACTAAAACCACTTGTCACTCACACATAGATGGACAGGGAAGGGATCCATCAAATATCACAAATAACCAAGGTAATGAGGCAGCTCAGAAAGAAAATGAAAAAATCTCCAGAAAATAAATGTTTAAAGACATGGAAATAGGTGATTTGAATGACAGAATTCAAGACTGCAGTCCTGAAAAAACTCAACAAGTTATAATACAAGAAACACGGAGAGGCAGTTTGACAAACTCAGAAATAAAAATCAGTGAACAAAATGAGTACTTACCAAAGAGATTGAAACTTAAAAAAAGAACCAAACAGACATTCTGGAGATGAAAAACTCCTTAAAAGAGATAAAGAATGAACTAGCAAGGACGGGGGGTGGGGGAGGTGTGGTGGTGAAGAAAGTACCCAAATCAATTTAATTCTCACATAGTTTATTTCTGTCATAGAATTTTTAGTCTGAAAAAGACCCTAGAAATCTTGCACATCTGCCGTTTTGTTTTCTGAATGAGAAAATTGGGGCCCTCAGAAACCGTGGCTTGTTTAAGTCGTGCTAGAACCTAGCGCAACTTAGGAGCCTGGCTTCCAGTCTGCAGACATTTATTTGGTGAATATAGAAAGCTTTCTGGCTTTTGCTGGCAGATTTGTTCAGCCAACTGACCCAGTATCTCCCGGAGGTAAACTGAGCCTCAAGAGCTGAGGAGGCCTGAGGGAGGATGCACCTCTGTCCTCTCGTGGCTGGAGGATTATATGATCACGTTGCAACTTGTTCAGAGGGAAATTCATCGGGGGATTAATTATTGCTGTGATTACATGGAGTGTGACTTTTCTGGAAGTAGCTTGGCATGTTTATTTTATACTGGTACTATACAAAACCAAGGTACGATTTAAAAGACCTTGGCACCTTCCTGAAGCTTACAGTCAAAACGTGCTACTAGTCAGATCAATTTCTTTTCGTTTTATCTGGCTAGTCTCCAAAACAAAAACAATGAAAATGGTTTTTGCTTTGAAATGTGTTCTATTCATCTTCTCCTCACACTTCTGATGCTACAAGAGTGGCACTTGTTGGAATAGCATGTACTGTTTGCAGCATCTGCACTGCCTTCCAGACGAAGAAATGAGAAATATGGGGGTCATGTGACCTCTCCTTTGGGTAGGAGAGGCTGCAGGCAGGGCACCTTTTTCAGGAGACACATCAACAACACAGAGGAGCCTGGTTCAGTCAACAGAGCTGGCATTCGGGGAGGCCTTGGGCCCAGGCAAGATAGCATGTTCCTAACTTCATACATATGTGTTCCATTTTTCTATTGGAAAAAGCTTTCAGAGAGAATCACAGGACACTTGGTGGGAGGTTTTCGCAGACTCTGGGCAGTCACCGGCTACCAGCTCATCCACGTGTGCCACAGCCCGTCCATCTATGACTGTGCCCTTGCTCCCAAACTCTTAGTCTGAAGCCAAGCACGCTTTTGGAGGAACACACAGTTCCCTAACTAACTCTCAAGGAGCATATGAGGTGGGTCTAGGTCATACCTATCCCGGTGTTTAGGAAGTGGTATCTGAGCCTTAGCTAAGCAATGAAAGTCCTGGACCGAAGCGTACCTGGGCAAAAGTGACTGTGTTTTGGGCTTGCCTGCTGTTTTCTAGAAACATGCCTCTGGAAAGAGTAATTGCAGTCCCCAGATCTCCCAGGACTTGCAAACTAAAACCTCGAGGACGCACATTTCTTGTCCCTTGCCTGACCTCCCTTTGCTCTCTTCGCCAGGAAGGCGATGATGGCAGCTGGGAAGACAGAGGAGAGGGAGGGAGGGGGAGAGAGAGAGAGAGGACTCATGCCTGATGGATCCCATTAGGCTTAGTGTGCAAAGCAAGTTGAGATGAAGTAGCTGCTCTGGTATGCATCCAAAACTGCTGTTCTATTTTTAGTTCCTCCTGCGTCCTTTGTAGCCCCACGTTTTTCGCCTGGGCACCTGGATCGGCAGCAAAACATGGAACTGAGCCACTCATTTGTAAATCTGGAAGGACAGAGGCCATTGATGCAGGGCTTGTTTATGGCTGACAGGGAAGGGGGACCTGGAATGTTAATGAGAACAGCGCTCTGAAGCGTGCCTTCATGGTTAGCTAGGAGTTCAAAGGACAAGGCAGCCTCCGTCCTGCACAGAACAAATGGGAACCGTTGATAGAGGGAAGGAGAAATCAATTATGCTGTCACAGGCTTCCATGTCATTGTGTTGGAGTTGTTAGAAAAGGTAGGACAAGGACCAGATCTCAAAAGGAAACAAAGCCACATGGCCTTGAAGTATAACGAGTTTGCCATGGCAACTGATGGAAATGAGCCTCCCGGGCACCGAGCAGGTGTGTTATCTTACAGAATAAACATACTTCTCTCACTCCCTGGTTTTTATAATAAAACCTGTGTTTGGATTACTTTCCCCTCCTCTTTGTTACCCAGAGAGGTTGGCTGTTGCTCAATCAGCCCAAGGCTCTGGCGATGGAAATGTAATCAGTGTTATCAAAAGGGCTGCTATTGAAAAGCTGGCACGGGGCTTGGCTGCCAGCCTCGTCACTGAGCAGCAGCTGGGCCGCAGGTACCTGTCTGGCCTTTGCACTTTCCCAG